CCGATACACCAGTGGTGTTAATGGTAGTAATAACTATCAATGGAGCTAGTGATGATGATGATGATGATGATGGTGATGATGAATTATGAGATATTATGAGGATTAATTAACGAGGATATCCATGACAAGTAATAGTAATATTGACACACATGGTAATAACAATCGTAAGAAATAAGGACTATATAACTATATAATTATATAGATGATTATAACCCGAACCGTATTAATTTGATATCTTTTTCTTTTTGCCATGATTATGTAACTTGCTACCTACTATGCAGGCGTCACATTGTTCCAGGTGCCCCACCTGATGTCCACATTGGAAAAACGTGTTCCAGGAGAACACAGACATCGACCGCGCTGCATTGAAGAGGAGATTTTGCGCCACGGCATTTACAAAAGAACATGGGGATCAAACCAAAACCCATGGGGGATATACCATTACCATCCGGCAATCAAACATGGGGCAGCCTGGAAAATCCCCAACAAATTTCGTTCGATGATTTTCCCAGCCATAAACCACCATTTTGGTGGGAATTTGTCAGCTAGCCATGTTTGATTGCCAGAGGATTTAATGGGTATATAGGCTGCAATGATGGGACTTGTGACAAGCACCGATGCAGCCAATACTTCAGCTGTGACATGAAGTCATTATTTGGCTTTGTTCAGAAACAGGGAGTGTTTTTCGTGTCCCCGTTTTCAGACAACCCACGTATTTGTCACGTATTTGGATCTCCCAAAATCTGGGATTTCCACATCTCAAAATAGGGGTGTGAAATGCTATGAACTACACATGACTGGTGGCACAAAAGTTGATTGGGGGACATATTGGGGGGTTTGCAGGACGTATCGCGAAATGTCCATCAAGTACCATCCAGACAAAAATCCAGCAACTTGGCTGTTTTGGAAACGGGAACTGCGAAGGGCTTGGAGTTAAGAGCTGATGTGGGGCAATTTGCCTGCTTGCGCCACGTTTTGCAAGGGTAGGACCGGCACATGTACTGGCACGCGAGAAAGTTCCGCTGTGCGTTGACTCCGGATAAACTTGCTTCTCACTCACTGTGCCATGCTGAGAAGATGGGGTGTTTTCCCATAAAAGGGGTGGTCATCAATAATAGGGATTTATATACCTGTTCCAATTATTAGGATGTCGATATGGGATGGCTGACCATAAACCATATACAACCATATAATGATTTTTGACCATGGCACATATAAGCTCCATGTAGACCCAGTAGACCCCAAATATTGAAGTTTATGGACAACTCTCAAATGGTCACATTTTTTGTGTGGTGTAGTGTTGGGCTTTACCGGCTGTTCCCTTGGAATCAGATTCCAATCACTGGAGGATTCCCCAATTTTCGCCGCTGACCTAGGAATCAGCGGAACTCTTTGGCAGGCGCCGGGACTTGCTGATATACCCCTCTTTTTGGAGCTGGGTTACCCAGATAACTATCCCTAGTCTCACTACTTATCAGTATTGGTTATATGGTACTTGGTGGCTCATCCCACTTAGTAAGTAGGTAAGTTCCACCCCACTTATAAGTGGGATAAGTAGGCTTAATCCACTTACAACTGCTGTTTTAACCGACTTACTGGGATGTGCCACCACCCGATTATCACAACCCACTGGGAATCCCCATGATTAACGCAACTTTTTCAAGTGGTAAACCCAACAATTACCCTACCATTTTTGGTGTATACAATCCATTTATGATCATCTTGGGGGTGGTTTATACTTGAGATTTACATGGATTTACAACATTAGTCCCCTCTAAACGGGCCATTTTCATTCATTTTCCATAGGTAAACCTCATTGTAATGGATGCTGAGTCACAGTGGTGAGCATCCTTAAAAAATCCGCACCAGAGCCCACGGTGAGCACAGATTCATTTCGAGCCAGATTCTACGTTCCCGAGTGTGAAGAGTTCACACATATTATTCTATATATTCTATATATATATGTATATATTATATTGACATTATTGGCTCTCCCCAATAAATCTGTATGCCTCATTAGGCCATAGTTTCACCCTGAACATGAGGTGTGGGAGGGTTTATGGCCCCTTCGAGGTCGGTTGTGACTTGACGATTTGGGTCAAGAGTCAAAAGATGTTAAAAAACCATAAGATACATGAACAATTCATGAATATATATATATATATACATACATATATATATATATACATACATATATATATATACATATATATATATACATACATATATATTTACATAATTATATATGAACATACCATAACTTGGAGATGAAGATCCATAAGTCCCACCAATCACTTTGGGGTGGTCGAGCCTAGGGGCCTAGGCTTTCAAGCCAGGATTCGGGATGCCTATGAGATCCTCAGTGATCCCGTTAAGATGCTGCTGTACGACACAGGACGGCAGCAATGGGGGTTAGGGGAAGTCAACTAGGCAACACACATTGGGAATATTGGGATTTCATTGGTTTAATCATCAAACACTGGGATCCAATCAAGAAGAATGGGGCAGTCAAGCTGCAAAAAAATATGGGATTTAGCCAGCAGTGGCCACGGAGTGGGAAGATGTGGCCAAAATGTGGAGAAAAGGCAACGAAACTCAAATCTTGGAATCCCATACTTTGCATGTACATTTATTGTAATATACTATATATATAGAGAATATATAGTATATATATATATATATGTATACATATACATACATAGGTATAGTATATATATATACATATATATATATATGTATATCCAAAATATACACATATTCTTCCGGCATAAAAGGCATTGAAAGGACGAATTGCAGGAAACCACTAGTTGCTGCGCCCAGGAGGGATGGAGTTGGTCAAGAAGTACGAGAAAGGCAGTGCCGTGCTCCGACATAGAGATGAGAAGGGCATTTTCCAGAATCTCCATGGTTGATTATGGTTGATTATGATGATTAGTGGATCTCTCTCTCTCTCTCTCTCCATGTATGTGACTTTATTCAATCATGATATGTAGGAATACTACTGCTAATATCTGCTAATAACATTAATGTTAATACTACTCATCATTTTATGATGATGATGTATGATGATAATATATGATCATATATGATATAGTACCTACTTCATACTAATAACAATACTGTCATAACAATGACCCTTAGCTGACCTCCTTGGCATCGCCAGATGGTGACGGAGAAATCGACCGTGTGGACAACTTTGAGGCGGGACAACTAACTCCGGGAAGGTGAGCCGCCGGTTTGACAAATCGCCAGGTGGCACAGCCCTCATATGACTCATATGGTCAGCAAAGGTGGAAAACGTGGAAAAACAGGTGTGCCATCAGTGCCATCCATAGATTTTTTTCCGAAATTTATCCGAAATTTAGTGATCATATGTTTTATCCATGGAGATTTATCCGCGTGGTTAGCTTGACAAAGCCTGACATGGGATTTTTGGATGGCCAACTAAGATGGGATGCTGCACAGCAACTTCCAACTGCAGCCGGCCAGGTGAACCACGAAATTTCTCTTGAGGAGGCTTACAAGGGAGGTGAGAAGGACGGTGCTTGTGTGTATTTTTTTTTTCGGTGCATGGCAGGTGGAGTCGGTTGTTCCCCCAAAAACCAAGGGGGATATCATGAGCCAAAAGGGTGCATTTTTGATGAAGATCGGGTTCCAACCTGTCGAAATGGTGTTTTTTTGAAGGAATTGAACAATAATGATCTTGTCCAGCAAAGCCGGGGGGGTAAAGCCGGAAGACACGGGTTTCTTCGTGGAAATGATGGATGTTTTTTTTGGGACAACTATGACTGCTGACAGCCTGACAGACTAAAACAAGCTGTGATAAACCTTAGATTGTGCCAGTGTAGTGAAGGTTTTCAAGACAGAGGTGGTTGACATATACTTGACGTATCAATTCATAGGCATGTGTGATGTTTCAGATGACTGACTACCCTCTGGTAAACTAACATAGCTATTGAAAATCACAATTTTTCAATGGGTAAAATCAACTATATTCAACTATAAATGGCCGTTCTCAATAGCTATGTAACAAATTACCAGAGGGTGTTTGATGTATTTGTACACGCAACCTGCAGGCTGCTTCCATGTTTCGCCCCAGGACATTACCGTCAATCGCCGTGTGGTCTGTAGGTGGGGAACGGGAGCCCCGACAGTGGGGATGAGGGTACCCAAACACGGGGATGAGACCTAGCCGGACGAAATGGGGATGAAACGGAGCATAATAATGGGATGTCATGGGATATATATATATACTGTATACATATTATTCTATATGAAATAATGATAAATAATGAACAGTATGATAATATGGGTTTGTCCAAACAACGGGACATTTACATCCAGTCCATTGCACTTTATTTCAAGGGAGAAAAAGGGTGTGTTTTCAACCATCAATTTTAGGCGTAATTAGCAATCGTTTTCAGACACACCCATACAATGTGTCCCAAAATTGGGACCACCACCACCCGAGTCATCTTTGGGCGGCCCCCTTTTGATGAGTTTGATAAAGATCATGTTTGATTGATAGAGAAAAGTGATGACAGAGATACAGAAAGTTTGAGAGAAAAAACACATGACAGAGATAATTTTTGTCAGAAAAGATAATCAGATCATGGCACAGAGTCAAATCGACAGAGATACAGTAAGTTTGATAACAAATACCACATAGATATAGATATGTTTTTTTGACAGAGGTATGAACGTATGCAAATGATAAAGCCAGTATTTTCACAACATCACTTATTACATGGTTCTTACATTGATATACTGTATATATATATATATTATATATATATTATATATTATATATATATTAGAATATTATATATACATATGTACAATATAATATATATATATATTTAATATCTATATAAATCATGCCACTTTTTATAGGGCAGGACCCGGTCCAGCGCTCCAGGTCCTGTCGACTGCGGCCTGACCTGCCGCGGTGTCGCAAGTGTCAGCCGTGTCCTGGGGAACGACATCAGCGGCAGGTGTGGATGGATCAGTGCCTCGGTCCCAACTTTCAGAACCAATGGGGGGGAGGGAGGGGTGAGAGGGGGATTGGGGAGGGAGGGGGTATGTTCAAAAACTGACCCCTCCATATTTTCCCAAGAGGACCATCTTATGGAACTCATTGTTGGACGGTCTTGGAACTTTGATGATCTGTGTTTGCGAAGGAGAGTTTTGAGGGTGAAAACTCAAGACCCAACAAGACAGAGATTTTGGTCGTTCTTGAGTAGTCGCTGCACACCATATTTTTGACCCGTAGCCTCCAATTTTTTGGAGGATCTCTTGAACCATGGGCACATTCTCCTGAAGAAGGGCATGTTTGTTGTGTTCACTATGAGGACACAAGAATTTGGGGAGGTGAACGCATTCAAGAAATGCTTCACACATTTGACAGATAGTTTCCTTGGAGCCCTCAAATTGGGTATGGAGGATCAAATTTTCCCAATTCTTTACATGGCAAATCATTGGGTCCTACCCTCTGGTAATTTAACATAGCTATTGAAAATCACCATTTTTAACGGGAAAATACACTATTAATAGCCATTTTCAATAGCTATTTTGACATAACCAGAGGGTATCTCAACTTTCAGTGGGAATCACTTGGTGATGAAGATTTGGCGGGGTCCACCTAGGTGGCATTATCGCATCGAGGAATTCGAGGCGCTTTGGGATTTTTTTTGGGATGCGGATGTTGAGATGCCCCAAATTTGAGAAACACACCGGGAATTTTGTGTTATTTTGTGTTGTTTCATTGTTTCAACTTCAGACGCATAGCCCCCAGTTGGGTTGGGGGACTTCTTTTTTGCCGACCCACCACGAGGTTTCTGGCTTGAATCGTTTTGTGAGTAGTTAGCCAGTTTTGAAGGACCATGCATCTCTGTCACAATTTCTTGACTTATACCAATCTGGCAAAGGAACCCGTGGGAAAAAATGAGTTTTTCACTTGGGAAACCAGAGAAATTGGGGGCAATGCCCTGTCAGCCTGGCACCTCTGTTGCTTGATCTTCGGGTTTTCCACCGTCAAATCGGCCACGAGTTCGCAGGTCCCAAGTGATGAACGATGCACCTGGGACCGACAGAAGCTGAAGCTGCAAATCGAGCGAGGGACCATGTGAGGAGTCCCAGATTTTACGGCAGTTAACCTAGGGAATCTTCATGGTTTTTTTCACAGCAAAGATAGCTGGGATTCATGATGATTATACTGGTTGCTGGTTTCAAACATTTTTTATTTTCCATATATGGGATAATCCTTCCCATTGACTAATATTTTTCAAGACGGTTAAAACCACCAACCAGTATAATCATATATATATATGGTGGTTCATACCCCAAAAATCTGGTACTGTACTCATATGAGAAGTTTGGATCTATCTTCATCTGAATCGGAGGAGTGGGTTCCCACAATTGCACCAAAAATCAAGCGCTATCAAGAGCTTATTGTCATGGAGATGTCTGATGTTGTAAGAAATGTCAAGTTGTCTTTTCTGCAATGTTCATTCTGTACGTCTTGTGGTTCCATCTTAGATTTTTGAACCACATCTTAATCAGTTCTTGAGACAGTGCTTTGCCTCACACGAAGTGGCCTGCAGGCCACTTGGGGTCCCCGTACAACTCACGGGCAATTTGCTATGTTGCACTCAGCTAGAATAGAAATAAATCAAGTGATGTGAATGATCAGGGATTTTCACAAGATTTTGCTGCTTTCACTATATAGTTCCCATCCACTTGCTTGAAACACCTCATTGGAAAGCAAACTGTAATTTTGCAGATTCTGCGGTCCTGAGAATTGCCTTGCCATCAGGAGGTCTTTACATCGAAAAAAAAACTATACATATTGCATAGTTCTTCCGAATTGTGTTGCATGATATCTCCATGTTGCTTCGGTCTATCTGACTATATTATATTATATAAATCCCTCTAAATCCCAATCATTTCATTTTGGAAGTCCCCATATTCTCGATGTCCATTGACCCAAATTCCCTCCAGAACGACCATCTTTGGAGGTTTGGTGACCGCGCACATTTTCCAAGCATGGGCAGCCAGCTCCCAAAGCACATCCCAGGCGTCTTTGGACGGAAATCGCAGGAGTTTGGAGGATTTTGGGATGTCTTTTTTTTTGGGGGGGGAACCTGTGGAGTAGCAAACTTTATGCCTTATAATCATAATCAAAGTTTGTTTGACCGATATTGACCGATATCTTGATGTTTTTTTGAAGCAACTCATACATTTTTTTGGGGGCAACTTCTAACAATCGTCACAAGGTCCTCACTGTGGAGATGATGTCAGCTGCTGACAGCTTTCCGAAAAACAATTTTTTGTGGCTACACAAAAACTCCGAAAAAAAAAGGGAAGTCATAAGATTTTCCCATGATTTTCCATGTTTTTTCCATGAATCTTCCATGGAGTTTTCCATGATTTTCCTGGCCTGGCGAAACAGGTGATGCTTTGGTCACCATCAAGGTGAGAGTGTTTTGGGCATCGGATCGGATGTGTTTTCGAACATCGGATGTGGCAATAGAAAAGGATGTGGTTAATCCATGTACATTCCAATCATAAATCCATATCGGGCATGGTCTATTCTTGGGTTTAACCAATTCAATGATTTTCGCTTAAGCAAAAGAAAGGTACAAGCTCCCCAGAAAGATGGTGAACATTGATTTACCCAGTTTTTTTTTTCTAACCTTAAAGTGCCCAGTAAGTAGATTCACACAACGCAGGTGTGGTCATGGCAAGATGAAACCCGTACCAAGGGGATGGGGTTGATTCCATGTTTTGGCATCTTCATCTTCATCTGCTTCATCTGCTCCATCTGCTTCTTCATTTTCATCATCATCATCATCATCATCACTATCACTAGCTCTATTGTCGATCGATACTTATTACTACCATTATATATTATTATATACACCACTAAGAGGATTGCTATCATCATGACGACAGGTCGGTGCCCGTTTCCAGGTGAGAAAGAATTCGCGCTTCAAGCGCTTGGGCGACGACTTGATGGCAGACCTGCGTGTGAGTCTGTCGGAGGCACCCGTCGACGGGACGACGTTTTGGGGTTCCATATGGTTCCATGGTTGGGATGGGATGGGATGAGTCATGATGGTTGGGATATGAAGGAAATGCAACAGTGACTGGGTCAGGCTTTTCTTGATGCTAAATGTTGTTATGCCTGTGTTCACTGATTCACTTCAAAGCGGCTAGGCTTGACAAGATGTTGGTTATAATGAGCCTTTTCTCCAATTGGTTAAAGGGAGAATAGTTTCGGGAATTCCCTACACTGACACTTCAAACCAGGGCTTTTGTCATATTTTGTCTCCAATCCACCCAGTTCCTTGTCCATGGCATTTGAATAGGAATTTGGGTTTTCCATTTTGTCAGACAAACTCAAACATCATCATATTGCTGGTATTTATTTGCTGGCTCTATATCACTCCATGATATCACCCTAAACTTTTATACCATTTCTTTCTTCGTTAAATACCATTAAATCCCGGTTTAAATCACATTAAATCCCACTAATTTGATGGCTAAAAATCACTTTTTCCCCCTCTTTTCCTTGCTATTTTTTTTCCAGCTGGGAAAGTCCCCTGCCAAAAGCCCAGGCCTTGCTTGGCTTCAAGCGGGAGCTGGTGCATTTGGATGGACACATTGTGACCTTCGGCATGGATCGAGGTGATGTGCCTGGGCTGGGAGTTTTTGTCCAGAAAACTTGGGATTTTGGCCCAGCATCTTCTGGCGATTTTTAAGTTGGGATGGAATAGGTGGAGGATTTTTTGTATGAAAAATGATGAACAATGAGGATTTAGCCTCAAATCAGGGAGAGAGTTCTGGTGATATTCCAACGGGGGACCTAAACAAAAACAGCAAAAATGCGAAGAACATCGGGACTTGATCATAAATCGGATCCGATGGAATTTAAATCTGATTCTGACAGAAAAAAACAATGATAAACATGGTGGATTTGTCCTCAAATCATCTGGAGATTTGATGGGATTTAGCTGACAAGTATGGTATGAAGCCGACCTTGTTCCAAGGTGCTGAAACCCGGTGCCGCCTTAGAAATCGAGGGCGAAGGCATGCCACACAAGGAGGCGCCCAGAGTGATGTGTTAATGCATAGGCTTGCAGAGAATAGCGGTATGTGTATGCCAAGACCGTCTCAAAAAACAGTCGTTTGCACTTCCATAGTTGACTTGGCCATCTTGGCCTTGGCTGTGCCATCTACCCCGACGTGTGCCATCTACCACCCCGAAGTGATCAACCATTGCTGGTTGGTGGTTTGTTTTTTTTTTTTATTTTTATTTTTCCATATATTGGGAAAAATCATCCCAACTGACTCATATTTTTCAGAGGGGTTGAAGCCACCAACCAGTCATGCTGAATCGCTCGAGCAGGACCCCTCCAGTGCTGGGAAGCTGGTGATTCGATTTCACATCGACTTCCCTCAGAGCATTCCTCCCGGGGCCGGCGATGACTTGGAGGCGCGTGGACTGGTGGTTTCGAAACGTGGACTGAACCATGGTTTGATGTCCCCAAACACAACCTGAAATTATCAAAACTTGAAGAAAGAAAGTACAGTACAAATCACCATCCATCACTTGAAAAAAAGCATCGAAACACATCTACTCCGGTCTCCTAAGATTTTTGGTACCCCCTCAGATCCATTTTTTTGGGTGGGATTTTCTACTATGTACATATTTTCCGAAACCATCCATGGTTTTGAAAACCCTGGAGATCCACCCCAATTTTTCGCCAGAGGCAGCCTTATCGAAGTTACCAGGGCAGAGCAAGGCTCGAGTTTCGCAGGTCTTTTTCATCGAGCCACTCATGGACCATGGCTACCATAGCTATGTGAAATTACCAGAGGGATCCAGAGGGTACAAGCAACAACATCATGTGGGTTTGCTCATGGAGTATGCCATGCTGGGCAATTCGATATGTTCAAAAATGGGAAAAAAAAAACCAACCAACATGTGTCTTTTCAAAACCCCGCATGTCTGGTAAAATCAGATACTTGGTGTATGGTTTATCATGGTTGGTGGTTTCAAACATCAATTTTATTTTCCATAATATATGGATATATTTGGGATGTCATCCTTCCCATTGACGAACTCCATCATTTTTCAGAGGGGTGGCTCAACCACCAAGCAGTTTATCATGGTTTATCAATATCAAGTGGTTTAACACAGACCTGGATTTGGTTGATTTCCCCGCTGGATCACCCTGACATTGGAATCCCAGAGTGACAATACACGAATCCTTTCAATATTTCAACAAGTTTTATGGGGTGCCAAACAGATGTGCAAAATGAGACCTTGGCAACATCAAGTTCTCTGAAGAGAACAAGAACCTCTCCATCAGTTTCCGCAGAATCCATTGATGATGTTGGTTATGTCCCATCACATATCCCCATCAAATATCTCCATCAAATATCCCCATCCAATATCCCCATCAAATATCCCCATCAAATATCCCCATCAATATCCCCATGAAATCCTATTGAATGCCATCAAACCATCATTTTTATCCATTGTTCACTGAGCCAACTGAGCCAATGCTAGGGCTCTCAAAGGAAGCAGAACTCTGAGCTCTGAGTGGTGGGTCACCGAACTGATGGGACGGGAGACGGGACCCATGCCATGTTTATTTATTTATTTATTTATTTATTTTTGCATCCCAATGAGAATGGAAAACATATGATATTAGCAACATATAGTATATTATATTGTATTATACATATATATATATAGACTTAGAATATTATAGATTATAGAATGATATAGAATGATATATATATATATACACATCTATATACACAAGTATATACACATTATATTTAGCATCCAAATGTTACTATTTTGTAGTTGGTTAGTATTGGTGTTGTGGGATAGCTGGTCGACCTGCCGATCATTTACCGGCATCGACCTTTGTATCATCACCCGAAGATTCGATAGCCTTCCTATGGGATCCAAAAATGAATAGATCCTAAGAACTAAATAATAATGGTGTATAATAATGACGGGAATTTCATAGCTAAGTAACTATAGTGGTGTATAATAATAATGGTGTATAAATAACTAAATAACTATAATGGGTAGAACTAAGTGTTTCGTGATGAATATTGATGATGATTGGTGATGCATAGATCATATCACCCTAACATCAGATTCGATATCACCCTAATGGCGTTTCTTTGGGTGTATTTCATATTCAGGGGCATGGGACACGTGATTATTGATTGGAATCCCAACATCTGGTGACGCCCTGCAAGGTTGATGAAGGGCCGGCCCCAAGTTTAACCAACCACTACTTGGTGGTTCACCCCACGTGGTGGGTTATAATCCCACTTATAACTGCACATGCCCCCGATTATTACCCTCTTTATAAGTGGGGGTGAACTATGGAGTGAAGCACTACTCAGTAAGGGCTTCTTCACCATCTACTATTAATCATGGTGAACACAGTTGTTCCCCTGAATCAATGAGGTCTAACCTCTGAGCGGCAATCTTGAAGGGCCAAAGTGCCGGGAACTTCCGAAACTCGGAATCAGAGTTTGAGCTTGGCGGTTTCAACCCATTTCGCTTTTCCTTTGAATCAAGTGATTACAAGTTCTGGTTAGAACTTCCAAGCCACGAAGAAAAACCAGGGAGTCAGCCCTTCGCTTTGAGAAAGCGCGATGCCAGCCGCCGCGCGCCAGCTATGCGCCATGGAGTTGATGCTTGATGGCGGAACTTGGCAAAAACCAACGTAGTTGCATGCATAGATGTCCTTTTCCCATTGGTTGGTTGATTAATAGAAGGGTTTGTTTACCCCTTTAACAACAGGTAAATGATGATAGATGGTATACTGGTATACCACCATTCCCAAGATGTGGTTTGGTTCTTGTCGTAGTTTTCCGGGTACATGGAAGATTCTAAGATGGAATGTTTGTATGACATGAAGCAACCCCAATGTGATACCCAGTGGCTCGACTCACCACTGAAATGGATCATCACCAAATGATGGTATGATGAGATGATCAATGGATGATATGGTATACCATGGTATACCACTTAAATGGATTTAAATGGATCATTATTCATATCATCTCTTCCCCCTTCTTTCAATATTCAAATACTCTCATATGGCACTCAAAATGAACAGATCCACGGCCAGACCAAGGTTTCTTTGGGACATATATACGTGTATATACATATAATATATATTATAACAACAATGATCAAAATAGTATATAGCAATATATAACAATCCTAATTGTAATATATTATAATAAGAATAGTATATTTATAACAAAAATGAGAATAGTAATAGCAGGAACGAATTGCTGAAACTGCTTAAAAAACATAAAACCACGCATCCCGCAGACGCACCAGGCCGACTCTTTAGTGATTTGGCCGAGCAGTCCGCAGACGTTGCTCGGCCCGTCAAAGCATCAGGAGATTTTTTGGAAATTGATGGGGATAGGATGGGGAAATGCTATGAAATGGTGGGATTAGCAGGGATGATATGGGATTATATGGGATTTAAAAAGGATATTCTGAGGATAGAACGGAGATATGTGGGATATGATAGGGTTTTTTAATACACGGGGATGTGTGAGCATAGTGAAATTTAGGTATGTCTGAAAATGGGGTATACCATGGTATACCCTCTATGGCAATTTTAGGTGCGAAATAATAGTTCACCAGTGGAATGGGGTACCCTAGTTTGAGACAAACCAAAGCAGTGCAATGCGCATCAAAATGAAGATCATGCATGAACTCCCATGCACCTTGCAATTTCAAGCATTTTCAAGCTTTCATTATCAATCCACTTCTTTTCAAGCCTCTTTTTTCACCTTGATTTCTATTTGGATTGTTTGAAAAGTCCAACTGACCGGTTCGAACTTCAATTTGGATTCTTCAATGACTTCAATTTTTTTTGCATTTTCAGTGGATTTTCGTTGGAGTCCAACGTTTGAATCCACTGAAATCCAAAGCCAGGTCGGAGGCCGGCCCATGCCGACCACGTCGACCTGCCCAAAACGAGGCGAGCCACGGTAACGCATGACGGACGGCGCCATGGTAACGCTTGAAAGATGTTTATGGATGAAATCTGCGTGAAATCCCTGAGGGATTACATATTATGTATATATATATATATATATAATATTTATAGATCTGGAGAAATCCTTGGAAACACCTACGAAATCAAGATCTGCAAATGGTGCGTGTTCCATATACTATATATATACTATATATATATATATACTATATATATATATATCTATATATATAATATACATGTATATATATATATATGTGATATCTATTTCTAGACTGCAACTCCCAGGCGCAGTTCCTGGGCGTGGCGCTTCCAGCGGGGAAGATGTGCAACGGACAGTCTGCCAAGGTGCCGCCTCGGGGATTGACATATGGAGGGGTCTTGAGTGATGGTACCCCAAGTTATCATCCAAGAACTATAGTAACTATGAAGGTTTATGGATGGGAAAAAACATGGAAAACTGGCTGATTTGGGGTAGACATATTCTAGAGGGAGTTTCGCACACCCTGGGGTAGGCATACAAAAAGATGTGAAAGCCGGGTTTCTCGTTCGGAACATGATCTACTTTCATGGTGGCTGTTCCGCATTGAACTGTAAATGTTGGAGGGTATATAAGCTGGTCGGCGGTTTGGAACATTTTTTATTTTCCCCCATAGTTGAGATGATGATCCAATCTGACTAATATTTTTCAGGGGGGTAGGTATACCATGGTATACCACCAATTGTAGTAATTACTTGTATCAGAGATGGGGATATAAGAACACCTGGTATGGAAAATGACCCATGCAGTTGATTTACCTAGATTTCCTTGGCCGAGACCATGATTCTCCGAGAATGGACCCTAGGAAAATGGGGACGAAAAAACATGGATAAACATGGGAAAATGGATAGAATCAAGTCACACAGCTAGTCTGTCATGTGAATGCTATCTTTCGAATGTCTTAAGATAATCTGGTTGCATCCCTAGCTGGGATGATTCTTTGGACACCTCCAATGGTTGATATGGACTGTGATCATGGAACATTCTGCAATTGTCTCATACAGAAATGGCCCTTAAAATCATTGAACAAGAATGGATCTTGAAAAAAAGGAACATGAACTGTGGCTTTTGGCGCGGTGTTGGTCCCAAGAATCTGAAGCAGTTTTGAAACGGGACGCCGCCGTTGATGCAGGTTCTTTCCAGGCCTGACTTTCTGAAGCTCGCCAAAAGTGGTGGGATGCGGCAGGGCATGATGGGTATTGATGGTTTATTGCACAGCCAGCAGTAGCAGTACTTTTTTCCAGGTATTCATGGGTGTTGCTCATACAGCAACTGGAAAAGTTTAGATAAGTTCAGTCATGAGTGGTTAAGAGTACGAAGGCGGGAAAATGGTGGCAGGTCTTTTTGTGTACATGGTCAAACTAGTTTCATCAGCAGCTAGTCGCTGCCATTCCTTCCCTATCTATTCAGTTTGAGGATCACACTGTGAAGCGTCTTCTTTCGTTAGGATGGTATATATCTCAATTCCTGATTATTTCATATTATTCTTTAGCATCCAAATTGATAGAATGAGTCAAGACTTATCTTCTGTTCCCCTAGCCAGTGGTTAATACGGGCATCGAGATGATGATCATTGAATCATTGGAATTGTCCTCTACATTCCATCAATATACATTCCATCATATCCCCATACAATCGATATTTATTTCCCCCTACACCTCAACGAATCAGAGAAAATCGTCAATCGCATCCCTAGTATTCCTGGCTTTTGAACACTGTCCAACTGGGGGAATAGTAATTAAATCCCTAGAGTTCACCCAAACTGATAGACACTAAGAATTTATAGGAATTCATCGAAATTCATCCCACAGTTGACCAGGTTTTTACTAAATAAATCCGTCGAACATGTCGACAAGCTTATATCATGATCATTGACTTTTTTTGATATTCAGACATATTCAGACCATGTTATTCCAACTATCTTACATAAAATATGGGATCATATCCCAATCATCATTTTATGGGATCATATCTCATCATACCCAAAGATAGATTATCAGATCACAACTGGATGCCAGTTTCCCAAGGCGCACGCTGGCGAAGTTTCCTGCAGAACTGAAGATCTTCGAACGCTTCGCGCGCGAGGCCGCCGTTTTCGTTGGGCCTGCGGAGAGCTGGCAGGAGAACATGCAGGACATGGGGGGCGCCATGGGGCTAGAGAGATCGTTGACCTTTTTTGAATTGATTTGTTGAGAAATTGGGAATGAAGAATTCATATAGTGTTTTTTTTTTTTATGTTTTTTTCCTTTTAATTGTTTGGTTTGTGGAAATCCAGGTCGAGAACTTAGAGTAAACTATTTTTATGGGAGTGATGCGATTTTGGGGCTTGACCAACAACTGCTGTGGCTTTTTCAGATCGTTTTCCACTGGCAGAGAAGCGTCGTTGCATCATTGGGATGATCCTGACGTGATTTGGACAATCGACATGTGGAGAAACGGTGAAAACCAACTCTTCTCACTCCTTGTTGATGGTTGCAATGATGTGTTCATAGGATTTTCATAGGATTTTCACCATTTTTTTTGGTGTTTCCAGAAATCAGAGGATTCAAAGTCCAAGGTCTTCCCAACTTGTTAGACATGCCACTAGGGCTGGACAGTTTCCCAGGCTTCGCCGGTAATCCCACTAGGACGAGGCAGGCAAGCGACTGCTGGCCTTCCTTGAAGCAGGCAAAGAGTTCCAGGGTTGCGAGTTCCTTGGCAAAGGTGGAGCGATGTCCCTTTTTTTTATCCACCACATTTGGCTTTGTCTGAACATAGGATAAGCCAAAATCCATTGGTTTATCATCATTTTTCCATAGAATGCCCAGTTTGAGCTAAATCTCTCATTGTAAGACACACCCATTGGGTTGCCCATCGTTGTTACTTACACAATCTTACACACATCATTCAGTCGAACCTGGGAGAAGTTTAGGCTGTTGGAGTCCCGGCTTCGGGCTGTTGGGGGGTGGTACCTGGTAGCGCGTCAGCAGTGGCCAAAAGCACCATTGTTATGGCCACGGGTCAAAGTCAAAATTTACAAATGAATCATAGCTATACCGGCTATACCAGCTATTTTGGTCTTCAAGCAAGGTACTACGGCTTTGACGCATACTCATACACAGTATATACAGTATATACACAGTATACACGCACATATGATCCTTATTTTTTATATTCAGTTCGCGCTTTTGCACTGGCTGACTATAGTTCCCAGACTTCCATTTCCGGCGGAATTGTCATGGATTTCATCCAGGATTTCCAGGATTTCCAGAAATTCATAGAATTGGATTATGGGAGAATTTTAACCGGAAACCCCTATATATTTGATGGTAAAAACCATGGGTTTCCGGTTAAAATTTCCCCAACAAACCAATCCAATGAGAAATGCCGAGTTGCCTAGGCCTGAGTTCCTCATGAAAGTCCTGGCGACTCACATGGTTTCCGGACGGCTGCTGGCTCCAGGATCGACTCTCGAGGGAAATGCCTGGCTCCTTGGACAAAGCCTGGCTGATGACGGGGGGCCAGGAAGGTCTAACATTGGAAAATATTGGAAAATGCTAGGGACTTCATGGGGATATTTGATGGGATTGATATGGATTGATATGGATTGATATAGGGAGTGGGATCGATCTTTTTCTTGAGGGGAGACTTAGTGATTTTACTGGGAAAATGACTGGGATTCAGGGGGATTCAATAGATTAAATGGGATATTCCAAGGGGATATTTCTTCATGGATTAGAGTGGGATATTTAGGGATATTCATAGGTTAATGTTCCTAGTGGCCCTAATGTTAAATAATCCCCTCCATGACTGTACCCCGCACATGAATACATCCAATACATTGCATCAGGGTTTGGGTTTGGGGGATGTTTGACGTTGGGGGAATGAGGTTGAAGATCGTCGGGTTACCTCATTGGTCATGTTTAGTAGCTAAACAGTCAAACACGGGGATCAATCATATTCAATGATTTTGAGCTGGACATTCATAGGGGTATGGCTCAAACATAGTAAATGCTCCACTTATATGTCACGGCAATTTTGCTAGTGAAAATGATGATCAAGCATGGGATGGAATGCGATATTTCGCGCTATTATTTCGCAATTTGCATCCATCTTCCCACATGTTTCTAGTAGGATTGTTGAAGTTCTTTCATGTTGTTTTCCTGCTTGCGCACTTCCCCCGCATGTTTCCTATAATATAGAATGTCTTGATATATACAGTATATATATATACACATACAGTAAATATGTATTGTCTTGTGTTGTTTTATCTTTGAATCTTCGGCCCCCCTAGGTCTGGACCCCCTCCATCCAGTGGTTGAACACCTCTTTTTGTCGCTTACATAGATACCACCATTTTTTGGTTGGTGCATCAAATAACCACATCTTCACCATTTTATGACCCATCTCGATGATCTCAACTACATCATTCTTCCCTGTATACACAAGTATATATAGATATATAATACTTAAAAAAATATATACATATACATATATATATATATACATAGATCTACATATTCAGAACCAGCCATGTTTTGGTTCATGGTTTTCTCCACCCGGACCTCCCTCCCAGGTACGTCGTCCTGGCGGGTCGCGTCCAGGTCGAATCTCCGGACGGCCTCCTGCTGCGCTACGCCGGGCCGGGCGAGGTGCTGTCGCTGGAGAACTCGCTGGTGCTGCGCGCCGTGCGGGGGAAGCTGGCAGGCGAACGGGAAACTAGCTATGTTCGTTTACCAGATGGTACATGGATCCCATGTTTTAGCACGGCCATTGGTCCATCCGCCCGTCGCCAGGGCCAGCCTTGTGCTTGGAGCTGTCGCAGCCGAGCGGAACGATGGGCAGCGAGAACGTGGAGCGATGGCGGCGCAATGTGCAGCAGTTTCTCGGGTGACAACGCGATGTCTGAGACCAAGCAGTTGATGGGAATATTTGATATAGGAGATAATGATAAGAATAATAATAACATATAATAAGAATAACAATAGTAATGATAACAGTTAATAAGAATAATAGTAATAAAGATATAATAATAATATTTATAAAATATAATAATATAAAATAATATATATTATTATAAAATAATATATAATAATGTATAAATAACATATATTAATATATAATAATATACAATAATATATAATAATATATAATAATATAAAAATAATATATAACAATATATAATAATATATAATAATATATATAACATATAAAAATATACAATAATATATAATAACATATAATAATATATAATAATATAATAATATATAATAATATAATAATATATAATAATATAATAATATATAATAATATAATAATATAATAATATATAATAATATATAATATAATAATATATAATAATATTTTTTTTTTATATAATATATAATAATATTTTCCCGAATGCGTAGCAAGGGTTCCCGTTTCACTCTGGGGGTCTGGGGGTTGAGGGTGTGTTCGCTCGACGTTGCCGAACCGTCCGCAACCGTTCGCAACCGTTCGCAACCGTTCGCAACCGTTCGCAACCGTCCGCAACCGTCCGCGGTAGGTCCATATGGCCGTGCCTATGGGAAGTTCTGCAGAGGTGGTCATTTTTGGAGTTTTCAGACGTGTCGTTGCTTCGTTTCGCGTGGCAGGCGTGGCACTTCGTGACATTCAGACGTGTTCTGCAACGTGGCGAAAGTCGTTTGGCGTGGCAGGCGCAATACTTTTGTGACGTTTTCAGAAGATATGTTGCAGTTTTCGTGGCAGGCGCAGCACTTTGGACGTGTCCATCGTCATTTTTCGTGGCAGGCACAGCACTTTAGATGTGTCCTGTTGCGTGTTTTTTGTAAATCGCATTGGCAGGGCTGCGTCAAGTGGCGACAAGGTGCAAATTCCGTGGCAGGCGTGGCATTTTCTGACATGTGCTGAAAATTGACGGAAGCCTCGCACGAAACATCGATTTTGAGGTTGCAAATTTTCAGGTTCTAAGGAAAACTCGTAGGAAAACGTCGATTTTGAAGCTACAAAGTGTGAAAATTGGAGGAAGTCTCGTACGAAATGCTCGTTGTGTTGCTCCCATGTGTCTCGTCTCGCGTCTCTGGTTTTCCCGTGGCCTCGCCGTGTCTATGGGGGAAGCTGCAAAAATTGTCTTTTTGTCATGATGCCAACTCTGAAAATTGCCGGAAGTCTCGTACGAAATGCTCGTTTTTTTGCACCCACGTGTCTCGTCTCGAGTCGCTGGTTTTCCTGTGGCGTCGCCGTGTCTATGTGGGAAGCCGCAAAACCTCTCCTTTTCGAAGGTTTCCAAGGAAGTTGTCATGTCGTTTTGCGTGGCAGGCGTGGCACTTTGTGACATTCCAACCTGTTTGATAATGTGTCAAAAATGTCAAAAGTGGAGGAAGTCTCGTACGAAATGCTGGTTTTTCTGCATCCACGTGTCTTGTCTCGAGTCGCTGGTTTTTCCTGAATGCTCACACGTATGTTAATGGTACAGATGTCAAAACACATGGCTATGCAGTCACGCACCATACCTTTCTGCAATAGTTTATATTTGAACAGTCTTGCAAATGTTTCCCTAGTTACCAGTCTGCAGTGTGGGGTGGAAAGTGTAGAGTGTGGAGTGTGGAGTGTGAAGTACGGAGTGTGGAGTGTAAAGTGTAGAGTGTGGAGTATGGAGTGTAAAGTGTGGAGTGTTGGCTAGTTTGTCGGCCATGTTGGCGCTTGACGCTTCTGCCTCTGCCGCCGCAGTCGAGAAGCTCCCATAGCCGCACCCGAGCTACGCAACCATGGCACCTCTGAGGAAGCAGGCTGAGACAACGCCGATGCAGGAACAGCGGGAGAAGAAGATACTGAGCCCGTCGCTTCATCGGACGGCGGCTCCGCTGTAGGGCGGTGTTTGCCCTGAAGCATATCACGCAGCGTGACGTCAAAGTGACTCTCCGCTGCCGCTAGCGCTTGCAAGCGCTCATTGCTGTCAGTCAGCTTCTTCATGGGGTACAAGGAAGCCACGAGGAACTTGCGTGCATCCGACGCATCCACAAACCAGAGTCGCTTTTGCTTGTTCTGCCTTCTTCCCTGCAGCGGCACGGTGCAGCCGAACTCCGATTGGTAGCGGCGATTCAAGTGCTTTGCCACATACTTTTCATCCTTCGGAGACTCCAAGTGTATGCCGTATTGGATACACTCGGCCCATGGCTCTGAGCTCCTCCCTTTCAAAGCACCGTACTTCCAGTCGGTCAAGACAATTTTTCCCGAATGCGTAGCAAGGGTTCCCGTTTCACTCTGGGGGTCTGGGGGTTGAGGGTGTGTTCGCTCGACGTTGCCCAACCGTCCGCAACCGTCCGCAACCGTCCGCAACCGTCCGCAACCGTTCGCAACCGTTCGCAACCGTTCGCGTGAGGGCCGTATGGCCGTGCCTATAGGAAGTTCTGCAGAGGTGGTCCGTTTTGGACGTTTCCAACGTGTCGTTGCTTCGTTTCGCGTGGCAGGCGTGGCACTTCGTGACATTCAGACGTGTTCTGCAACGTGGCGAAAGTCGTTTTGCGTGGCAGGCGCAATACTTTTGTGACGTTTTCAGAAGATATGTTGCAGTTTTCGTGGCAGGCGCAGCACTTTGGACGTGTCCATCGTCATTTTTCGTGGCAGGCACAGCACTTTAGATGTGTCCTGTTGCGTGTTTTTTGTAAATCGCATTGGCAGGGCTGCGTCAAGTGGCGACAAGGTGCAAATTCCGTGGCAGGCGTGGCATTTTCTGACATGTGCTGAAAATTGACGGAAGCCTCGCACGAAACATCGATTTTGAGGTTGCAAAATTTAGAGGTTCTTAGGAAAACTCGTAGGAAAACGTCGATTTTGAAGCTACAAAGTGTGAAAATTGGAGGAAGTCTCGCACGAAATGCTCGTTTTGGTGCTCCCACTCGAGTCTCTGGTTTTCCCGTGGCCTCGCCGTGTCTATGGGGGAAGCTGCAAAACATGTCCTTTCGGCATGTTTCAAACTGTGCAAATTGGAGGAAGTCTCGTATGAAATGCTCGTTTTTCTGCAGGCACGTGTCTTGTCTCGAGTCTCTGGTTTTCCTGTGGCTTCGCCGTGTCTATGGGGGAAACCGCAAAACCTCTCCTTTTCAAACGTTTCCAAGCAGCTTGTCATTTCGTTTTGCGTGGCAGGCGTGGCACTTTGTGAGACTCCAACCCGTTTGATTACGTGTCGAAAATGTCAAAATTGGAGGAAGTCTCGTACGAAATGCTCGTTTTTCTGCATCCACGTGTCTCGTCTCGAGTCGTTGGATTTCCTGTGGCGTCGCCGTGTCTATGGGGGAAGCTGCACAAATTGTCTTTTTGTCATGATGCCAACTCTGAAAATTGCCGGAAGTCTCGTACGAAATGCTCGTTTTTTTGCACCCACGTGTCTCGTCTCGAGTCGCTGGTTTTCCTGTGGCGTCGCCGTGTCTATGTGGGAAGCCGCAAAACCTCTCCTTTTCGAAGGTTTCCAAGGAAGTTGTCATGTCGTTTTGCGTGGCAGGCGTGGCACTTTGTGACATTCCAACCTGCTTGATAATGTGTCAAAAATGTCAAAATTGGAGGAAGTCTCGTACGAAATGCTGGTTTTTCTGCATCCACGTGTCTTGTCTCGAGTCGCTGGTTTTCCTGTGGCGTCGCCGAGACTTTGGGGGAAGCTGGAAAACCTGACCTTTTCGAATGTTTCCAAGCAGGTTGTCATGTCGTTTTGCGTGGCAGGCGTGGCACTTTGTGACATTCCAACCTGTTTGATAACATGTGGAAAATATCAAAATTGGAGGAAGTCTCGCACGAAATGCTCAATTTTTTGCACCCACGTGTCTCGTCTCGAGTCTCTGGTTTTCCTGTGGCGTCGCCGTGTCTATGGGGGAAGCTCCGCACTCCACACTCTACACTTTACACTCCACACTCCACAATTTACACTTTAGACCCCACACTCTACACTTTACACTCCACACTTTACACTTTGCACTTTACACTCCTCACTCCACACTTTACACTCCTCACTCTACACTTTACACTCGTCGATTTACACTTTACACTCCACACTCTACACTTTACACTTTACACTCTACAATCCACACTCTACACTTTACACTCTACACTCCACACTGTATATTTTACACTCCACACTCTACACACCACACTCTACACTTTCCACTCCACATTTCGCACTCCACACTTTACACTCCACACTTTACACTTTACACTCCTCACTCCACACTCTTACACTCCACACTCCCCACTTTACACACCACACTCCACACTCTACACTTTCCACCCCACACTCCGCACTCCACACTCCACACTTTACTGTGCACTCCACACTCCACACTTTATACTTTACACTCCTCACTCCACACTCCACACTTTGCACTCCTCACTTTACACTCCACACTCCACACTCTACACACCACACTCTACACTTTCCACTCCAGACTCCACACTCTACACTTTACGCTCCACACTCCACACTTTACACTTTACACTTCACACTTTACACTCGTCACTCCACACTCCACACTTTACACTCCACACTCCACACTTTACACTCCTCACTCCACACTTTACACTCCACACTTTACACTCCACACTTCACACTCCACACTCTACACTCTACACTCCACGCTTTACACTTTACACTCCACGCTTTCCACTTTACACTCCTCATTCCACACTTTACACTCCACACTGTACACTCCAGACTCCACACTCTACACTTTACACTCCATACTCCACACTCCACACTTTATACTCCGCATTCTACACTTTACACACTCTACACTCCCCACTCCACGCTTTACACTCCACACTCCTTATTTCACTTCACACTCCACACTCCACACTCTACACTTTCCACCCCACACTGCAATCTGGTAACAAGGGAAACATGTACAAGACTGTTCAAATATAAACTATTGCAGGAAGATATTGTGCGTGACTGCATAACCATGTGTTTTGACATCTGTACTATTAACATACGTGTGAGCATTCGGGTTCGTGGGCTTCATCTGGTTTTTTATGTAATAATAATATAATATTATGTTTAATAATATAATAATATTATCATATAATATTATGTAATAATATCTAATAACATGTAATAATATAAGATAATATAATATCATGTAATATAATGCAATGTAATATAATGTAAAATAATATAATATAATGTAATATAATATAGTATAGTATCATGTAATGTAATGTAATATAATGTAAAATAATATAATATAATGTAATATAATATAATGTAATGTAGTACAATATAAATAATATGATATTATATAACAATAATAATAAAATATACATATTAATTAAATATATATATATAATTAAATAACCAACTATGTAATAGCCAACTATGGATGTACATTATATGTATGGGGATATGATATATTGTATTGATATCCCAATTTACTGGAAGACTTGCGGATTTGCGTCGCTGAACATGTGGTATTGAACCCACTAAAAGATAGGGATTCAAAAACTTATTCCCAACAGCGAATCTGTTGGGATTCAATCTCTGGGGCCGGGGACTGGTGACACGAAAATGCACGCCCCGAAAAACCGGAACAGTCCTGGAACCTTGCTGGAACCTTTCGCTGTTGGTTGCAAAGCTGGGCCAATTTGTTTATATAAACATATATATATACATTTGTCAACTGGCTGTTTGTTGCTTTTCACGACATAGTTTTGATATGTTTCAGTTTTGAAGACATTGGACAAGCAACGTGTATCCAGTTTTTTTCAAGGTGCAGGGTGCCACTTCATATTTGCATCGATGGGAGAAGCCCAATGAGTCTGTCAACGGGGGATACCTCACAGCCATTAAAGGAACATGATGATAACAGACTATGTGTCACATTTTCCTGAAAAAAATCGATCAAATTCAACCCAAATCTCTGTGGCGAAGAGCGAGCAACCCAGGCTCCGTAGCGAAGAGCGAGAAACCTTGGAGCGGCGAAGAAGTTGGGTGCAGAAGGCACAACAACATTTTCTCCCTTTTTTTGTTGGAAAACCAGGGGTTTTACCCTCTGGTTATGACTAACATAGCCATGGAAAATAACCCTTTTATAGATGATTTTCCCAGCTATAAACCTCCATTTAGTTCAGGGATTTTCCATGGCTATGTTAGTCATAACCAGATGGTAAACATGTTCAAACTAAGACCATGGGAGATCAAGGTGGGGATGTATAGCCCAACCATTTTGTTTTTTATAAATCTATAAGATCCTCTGGTAAATCTGGCAGCCGCTGGGTTCAATCCCCGAACTAGCCACGGAGGTTTCATGGGTTTCCATGAATGGGGAAAAACATCGAACTAAAAGAGACAAATCATCGAACTAAAAGGTGGCAATAATCTACTATAAAGATTGGAAAAGCATGGAACAAACAGGTAAAATCCTCCAACTGAATAGGGGAACATTCATCTATGATGTTCAGTAGATCTATACCATCTTATGGCCATTGATAAAAATTATCTACGGCATTTCATCTATCTATGGACGGTGCTCATTAAAAGCATATAGATTTCGAAAAAAAAACATCTATAGCTACTTCATCATCTTCGTCAGTATACCCGTATTCAGTAATCTGATATAATCAATGGTATAAATCAATTTTAAATCAATGCTATAAGTATACCCGTAAGTATATTTCTGACATAAAATCAATGGTATAAATGGATATTTTTTTTATTTTATACCATCATCAACATGATATAAATGGATTATGTTGGTATTTTTGATGGTCTACCCTCTGGTAATTTAACATAGCTATAGAAAATCACCATTTTCAATGGGAAAATCCACTATTAATGGTGATTTTCAATAGCTATTTTGACATAACCAGAGGGTAAATCATCCAAACATCATGAAACATCTCTGATTTGATACCTTCCATCAGGGGGTTGGACGGCGCCCGGCGCGCGGTGTAGGTGGCCGTCCCGGCTCTGGGCTCCACGCAGTTGTTGGCTGGCTGTCCTGAGGCAGTTGGTGGTTGGTATACGCCATGAAGAAATAGGGATTTGGGTCAAAATGGAAGACCTAGGGAACCACAGATGTGAATGTCTAGTTTAGTATTAACCATCCATAATTTTGGGGTACCTAATTTTGACCCATACCCAAATAGGGATTTGGGTATGGGTCGATACCTATGAAAATACCATATTTTAGTGGGTTATTCACATCCATAAATCCCAGCTATGACTTGGGGTGAACAAAAGGTACCAGGGTTTTGACCCATCCCCATTTCATGGGAACATGATGGGATTTCGGGCCGTTTTTATGGGAGTGGGAATAGAATAGGAGAAGTTTTTATGGGAGTTCATGGGAATAGTTTATCGGAGAATCAAACATGGCAGCCGCTGGGTTCAATCCCCGACCTAGCCATGGAGGTTTTTCTTGCTGAGAAATCATCGAACTAGATGCTGGATTTGCCGGCAAAGCATGGCAATGATGACAGCAGAGGGTAGTATCATTCTTGGGCGGACTATTTCTTTTAAATACCAGCGGAAGTGTACTAATGTATAGCATAATTTTTTGATGGATCATTTTTGATCAGCTGGACACGAAATTAGTATCATTTTCGAACATTTTTTTACACCCATCATCTAAGTTCCTGGGCATTTCACATTTAGTTGGTAGGTCCAGTTTGCTTGGAAAAAGCCAAGATTAAACACCTTTTTGTGCAGGGGGAACTATGTTTTTTTGCATGTTTTTTTTCCCCGAAATCCCATGAAGTTGAGCGAATTTCCTAAGATTTTGCGCGGTGGATTTGGAGATAATTGCTTGGACGATAGTAGGTGGTTGAAGGTCCAAAAGTGCGGCTTTCATGGACGTGAACTTACCCCAAGTACTGTAATGCGTAGTATTTTCCAGTTATAGTTTGGGTTGGTTATTATATGTTGTTATGTATTATGTAGATATCTTCAACATGACTTTGGGTTATATTTGTAAATCCCCATCTTCATCAATTCTAACTATTACAACTCAAGGACTTAGTGCTTGAATGATTTGAATCCATGGCTGTGATTTTTTTGCGCTTCAAACATCAAACGTCAAATTTTGGGAGGATATGGTTCAGCTAAAAATTCACAATCTGCCAAAAATCCTCCAAGAATCCTCTCCAAATCCTTCAAGAATCTTCAAATAAACCAGCTCCTGCCACTGCAGGACTTCTTGCAGCTCCTTGCTGGACAGCTTTCGGAGGAGGCGTTTCAGGAACATCAGGACCGGGATGTCAACAGAGGGGAAATTGACCAACTAAACAGGGGCATCAAAGGCCAAGTAAACATCCGCGTATCATGCAATCAGATTGGGACGCAAGAAGAAATGCTGGATTTCGATCAGGTTAAGGGAAAATCTACAGGAAACCATGGTTTTTACCATTAAATATAGGGGTTTCCGGTTAAAATTTTCCCTTAAACCAATCCATTGAAATTAGGGGATGTCTCACTGCCGCGACCAATGACTTGCTTCGATCAGTCCTCAGGAGATCATCGGCTGCAATACGGAAGGTGACTCCATGTTGGTTCTATTGGAGGTGCGGGAAGCTGGGTCATTGATTTTCTAAGAGTTAGACTCTGTTAGATAATTATATCATATTATATCATACTATATCTATTAATAGCCATTTCAAATGAACTGAAATAGTATGATTTTTCCCATCTGCAATATTATAGACCCAGGTCATAAGTGGTTATTATTTAAGGGCTGCCGCCCCTGCCGCCGACCCCGGAAGAATTGGCAAGCCGTCAGAACGTATATATGGTACAGGCCTGCACCCCCCCCCCAAAAAAAATGGGGAAAGGATGTTCCTGGGACAGTTTTACACGCATTGTTGCCTGTTATGGTTTTTATGTTAAAGGGGAACGTGCGTTCCTTGGTGTTGATGTTTTTTGTGATGTATGTTGTAAGACATTTTTGGTAAAAACGTTTCATCCTAACCTTGTTGATTATTTTAGGGGAGTATCATTGATTGGGTCAGGATTTGTTGAGGTTGTTAGGGTTTTAAAGTTTTCATTTATTCAACTAAGATTTGAAAAGAAGGGAATGTATCATTAAGATTGTCTATTATTTCTTGATGACTTAACGGTTCTGTCACTTCTTCATTGTTTGATTGTTTTTGTGTTTTTCCATTATCTTTTTGTTTTTGACCGGAATTGTTGGTTTGTGCTCATGGTTTTTTCTTTCCATTTCTTTTTAGGATGGTGTGTCTGCCTAACGTCCCTTCTGAAATCCTAGAAAAACAACCTTTTTCCGAAAACAACTTCGAAAAAAGCATAAAAGCAGCTCCCGGCAGGAAAACACCATGGCTCTGAAGGACGAACTAGTTCTAAAACCACGCCAAAAAAGTGCCTAACGTCCCGTCTGAAATCCTAGAAAAACAACCTTTTTCGAGAATTTCTGTTGCCTGCGGCCGCTCGCAGGAAAACAACTTCGAAAAAATCACCTCCCGGGGGGGAAAACACCAGGGCTCTGAAGGACGAGCGAGTGCCAGAACCACGCCAAAAAAGTGCCTAACGTGTCGTCTGAAATCCTAGAAAAATCTAGATTAGATTTTTGGTAGGCTGCTGGCTACTGGCTGCTGGCTGCTACTGGCGCTGGCTGCTAGCTACTGGCTATGTGCACCTTTTGCGTGCTCTTGCCCACGTTCTTGACACCCATTAGTGCCATCCTAGAAAAACACAATTTTTCGTGCTGCTAGCTGCTGCACTGCTACCATTGCGCTTACTGCTGCTGCGTCTGCTTGTGTCTGCTGCTGCCTGCTGCTGCCTGCTGCCTGCTGCTGCCTGCGGGCAGCTCCCCTTTGCGTCGGCCGGTCCCGTCTGAAATCCCAGAAAAACAACTTTTTTCGAGAATTTCTGTTGCCTGCGGCCGCTCGCAGGAAAACAACTGCGAAAAAAGCAGCTCCCGGCAGGAAAACACCATGGCTCTGAAGGACGAACTAGTTCCAAAACCACGCCAAAAAAGTGCCTAACGTCCCTTCTGAAATCCTAGAAAAACAACCTTTTTCGAGAATTTCTGTTGCCTGCGGCCGCTCGCAGGAAAACAACTTCGAAAAAATCACCTCCCGGGGGGGAAAAACACCAGGGCTCTGAAGGACGAGCGAGTGCCAGAACCACGCCAAAAAAGTGCCTAACGTGTCGTCTGAAATCCTAGAAAAATCTAGATTAGATTTTTGGTAGGCTGCTGGCTACTGGCTGCTGGCTGCTACTGGCGCTGGCTGCTAGCTACTGGCTATGTGCACCTTTTGCGTGCTCTTGCCCACGTTCTTGACACCCATTAGTGCCATCCTAGAAAAACACAATTTTTCGTGCTGCTAGCTGCTGCACTGCTACCATTGCGCTTACTGCTGCTGCGTCTGCTTGTGTCTGCTGCTGCCTGCTGCTGCCTGCTGCCTGCTGCTGCCTGCGGGCAGCTCCCCTTTGCGTCGGCCGGTCCCGTCTGAAATCCCAGAAAAACAACTTTTTTCGAGAATTTCTGTTGCCTGCGGCCGCTCGCAGGAAAACAACTTCGAAAAAAGCAGCTCCCGGCAGGAAAACACCATGGCTCTGAAGGACGAACTAGTTCCAAAACCACGCCAAAAAAGTGCCTAACGTCCCTTCTGAAATCCTAGAAAAACAACATTTTTCGAGAATTTCTGTTGCCTGCGGCCGCTCGCAGGAAAACAACTTCGAAAAAAGCAGCTCCCGGCAGGAAAACACAATGGCTCTGAAGGACGAACTAGTTCCACAACCACGCCAAAAAAGTGCCTAACGTCCCGTCTGAAATCCTAGAAAAACAACCTTTTTCGCAGGAAAACAACTTCGAAAAAAGCAGCTCCCGGCAGGAAAACACCATGGCTCTGAAGGACGAGCTAGTTCCAAAACCACGCCAAAAAAGTGCCTAACGTCCCGTCTGAAATCCAAGAAAAACAACCTTTTTCGAGAATTTCTGTTGCCTGCGGCCGCTCGCAGGAAAACAACTGCGAAAAAAGCAGCTCCCGGCAGGAAAACACCATGGCTCTGAAGGACGAACTAGTTCCAAAACCACGCCAAAAAAGTACCTAACGTCCCGTCTGAAATCCCCCGGCAGGAAAACACTAGGCTCTGAAGGACGAACTAGTTCCAAAACCACGCCAAAAAAGTGCCTAACGTCCCGTCTGAAATCCTAGAAAAACAACATTTTTCGAGAATTTCTGTTGCCTGCGCCCGCTCGCAGGAAAACAACTTCGAAAAAAACATAAAAGCAGCTCCCGGCAGGAAAACACTATGGCTCTGAAGGACGAACTAGTTCCAAAACCACGCCAAAAAAGTGCCTAACGTCCCTTCTGAAATCCTAGAAAAACATCATTTTTCCGAAAACAACTTCGAAAAAAGCATAAAAGCAGCCTCCGGCAGGAAAACACCATGGCTCTGAAGGACGAACAACCTTTTTCGCAGGAAAACAACTTCGAAAAAAGCAGCTCACGGCAGGAAAACACCATGGCTCTGAAGGACGAGCTAGTTCCAAAACCACGCCAAAAAAGTGCCTAACGTCCCGTCTGAAATCCTAGAAAAACAACATTTTTCGAGAATTTCTGTTGCCTGCGGCCGCTCGCAGGAAAACAACTGCGAAAAAAGCAGCTCCCGGCAGGAAAACACCATGGCTCTGAAGGACGAGCTAGTTCCAAAACCACGCCAAAAAAGTGCCTAACGTCCCGTCTGAAATCCAAGAAAAACAACCTTTTTCGAGAATTTCTGTTGCCTGCGGCCGCTCGCAGGAAAACAACTGCGAAAAAAGCAGCTCCCGGCAGGAAAACACCATGGCTCTGAAGGACGAACTAGTTCCAAAACCACGCCAAAAAAGTGCCTAACGTCCCGTCTGAAATCCTAGAAAAACAACCTTTTTCGAGAATTTCTGTTGCCTGCGCCCGCTCGCAGGAAAACAACTTCGAAAAAA